TGCCCAACTCTCAGCAGGCAAGGTCATGCTCACAGGATTTTGGGACCAGCATGGAGATGGATGGATGGGTTTCCTAGCAAAGGGGACAAGGATCACTGGGGCAGACTACTCATGTGCTTCATGGCTGTGGAAATTGCATGAGACCATCAAACCATGTGGTATGCTCCCTAAAGGTGTCCACCTTCTGCAAGGCAATGCAACCCTTCGCAACTCTCCTGTTGCCCAAGTGGAAGAAGCATGCTCCAGTGGCTTTGAAATTCTGCCTCCTTCCCCCGATTCGCCCGCCCTCCCACCATCAGACTTCCTATCCTTTTTTTGCCCTGACCCTCAAGAACTTTGGAGGAATTGAACTTAGTTGAAAGAGGTTCCCCGTCCCTTGGAGAAGAGGTTGTAAACAAGTTGATATCCCTGCCGGGTGCTTGTTGGGACTTTGGCCTGGCTTTGAACTTTGGCCGGTTGTTTTCTTCCTTGCAACGCAAAAATAAACCATTTTGGTTTGGAGCAAAGACCCATTTGCTCCTCCTGTGTCCCGTGACCGGGAGAGACACATAGTTAGCTGAATTTATCACAACAGGATCAAAAGAGGCTGCATTGAGCAATCCTGGCCATAATAATAATAATAATAATAATAATAATAATATCCACTACAACAGCCGGCAGAGTGTCTGCTGTGGATTCATCTTGTTGTGTTTCTAATAATAATAATAATAATAATAATAATAATAATAATAATAATAATAATAAAATTTTGGACACAGGCAGAACTGGACAATTTGGACAGAAAAACTAGAGAACTCATGACCAAACCAAAGTCACAACATCGGTTATAGAACTCCAGTATGCCGATGATAATGTCATCTGTGCACATTCAGAAGAAGACCGACAAGCCACTCTAAACACCTTCGCAGAAGCATACAAGAAGCTCGGCTTGTCATTGAACATCGAGAAAACCAACGTGCTTTTCCAACAGTCACCGGTCAATCCCTTTCCAATGCCAGAAATACAACTTCATGATGTAACATTAGAAAATGTGGACCATTTCCGCTCCCTTGGCAGGCACCACTCCACAAATTCAACATCGACACCAAAATACAATACCACCTGAGCTCTGCAAGTGCAGCATTTTTCCGAATGAAGCAGAGAGTGTTTCAGGACCGGGACATCTGTAGGGATACCAAGGTGCTTGTCTATCAAGGTATTGTCCTCCCAACCCTGGTATACGCCTGCGAAACGTGGACTGTCTATAGACCTCACATGGAACTCCTAGAACGATTCCAGCAGCGCTGCCTCCGGAAAATCCTGCAAATCTCTCGGGAAGACAGGCGGGGAAACGTCGGTGTGCTGGAAGAAGCAAAGACTACCAGCACTGAAGCAATGGTCCTCTGCCATCAACTCCGCTGGACTGGCCACACTGTCCGAATGCCTGACCACCGTCTCCCAAAGCAGTTGCTCTGCTCTGAACTCAAGAACGGAAAACGTAATGTTGGTGGACAGGAAAAGAGATTGAAAGACGGGCTCAAAGCCAACCTTAAAAACTCTGGCATAGACTGAGAACTGGGAAGCCCTGGCCCGTGAGCGCTCCAGCTGGAGATCAGCTGTGACAAGCAGTGCTGCAGAATTTGAACAGGCATGAATGGAGGGCGAAAGAGGGAAATGTGCCAAGAGGAAGGCGTGTCTGGAAACGGATGCCCTCACTGCGGGAGAAGATGCGGGTCAAGAATATTTATTTATTTATTATTTATTACTGGTACTTTTACCCCGCCCTTCTCAACCCCCGGAGGGGGACTCAGGGCAGCTTACAAAGAAGGCAGAATTCGATGCCTATACATAATAATACATAGTATACAAAAATATAAAAGAACAATATACAAAATGTAATTAAAACGATTATCACAATAAAACATCAACAACTGGTACCTAGGACATTGTATAAACATCATATAAAAACATCATATAAAAGTCATTCTAATAATCAGCGTTTCGTTTCCAGAGTTCCACATGACCAATCCATTAGTCAATTTCCTAGCCATCAATGGAGTTCTTCTTTATTTACCCACTTGTCCAAATGCCTGGTCCCAGATC